ACTAGATCTGCTTCGTGGGTAGCTGTTTGCAAGTGGAATATATTTGATATTCAGCCACCTCATACAATCTTAGTCGTGATGTAGAGGAAAAACAACAAAATAATAATAATAATAATAATAATAATAATAATAATAATAATAATAATAATAATAATGATGATGATGATGATCAACTAGTTCCTCCAAATGCCCAGTTCATGTTTTGTTAATAATTGTTTTTAAAAGTCAAAATAGCCGCGTAATTAATTCAACTTTGCCATGCCCCCCCCCTCCCCTCCCATATCTGCCAGTGCATGTGCGTAGAACGCAGCGCTGCAGAGTTACACAGCCATCAGGCGCCATCAGGCCCACTTTCCCGCCTTACCACAACGCTCATCATCTATCATATGTTTTTCACACATTATGATCAAATACTTCGATTTATGTCTCATCCGTGTTTCCCGGTTGTTTACCTGCTTAAACTTTGAACCAAAATGTTCACTTTCTTATGACAAAAAAAAAGTTTTGTTACGGGCTATGACGTTTTACACCTGATCAACAACTTGGCCACACTGTCGCCTGTCTGAAGCTCTTGCATTGTTCGGCGTTGTGTCGTGAATGCGCAATGCGATGAGCCTTGCCTCGTGACATTTGTCATGTTCCTCCACATGCTGTCCTTGATGCTCAGCCACACATGCTCGTGTCCAAGTTTCCTCTCGCTTTCGCACATTGTCCATCCGCTGCGGGTTTTCCTGCGACTCCGCTCTCGCATTTGCCCACACTAACGCCAGCGGCGCGCACGTGGTCAACCATGCCCGCATTCCTTCACCCATCGATAGGACTTTGTTCAACATCCCTGCAGCGAATCCTCGCGTAAAAGTCGGGTATCTAGGTATGTTGTGAAGTAAAACTCTTGCTGTTCGGTCTGCTCTGATCCGGTGCTCGCCTTGCGTCAACTCGACTCGCATCCTGTCTTGATTATTAAAACCTCTCCGCTCGGCCTTTGTTCAAAATTCTGAATCTTCGTACTTTCGTGACCGCACTAGTTCTCGGGGAAGTCATAATTAAGTTTTGGATTTGTTCACAGCATAAAAATTATTGATTTCTTCTCTTCACGTATTTTACTTCCGTATTCAAGTTGCAAGAAACATACTGTGTTAATGTCCTATCTCTTGTATTTCTTTACCTAGAACACTGTATTTTTCGACCGCGTATGTCATCTTGAGATGCTTATTCTGGCCGTCGGACAGAAATGATAGTTTCACCCGTTTTCATGTTTTTCTGAGTAGCTGTTACAAAATTCTGCCTCGTGGTCAGGCCGTTCCTCGATGGCTGCCCGATGTATCGGGTCCTTCGCACCGCCCGGCACGTTCGTCGCCGGGTGCCGCATGGTCACGCGGCCGGGCGGGCCGCGACCTCTGACCGGACTGCATGCATTTAAATGACGTGTAAAACTCTGCGCTCACTTCGATATCTGGCCCTGGCGCGGACTTCCTGCACCTCCTCCCCCTTCCACTACTCTTCTCTTAACCCTTCCTCCTCCAAACTCTCTTCCTCGTCTCCTCCTCCTCCTGATGCTGCTGCTCCTGCTGCTGCTGCTGCTGCTGCTTCCAGGAGGCTACAATTTATTTCGCGGCGGCTGCGCGTGCCGGGCGTGCCTCGGGCGAGGCCTGGGCCTGGGCTGGGGGTGGGGAAGGGAATTCCTTGGCCGCGTGCCCGTGCCAGCCGCGTGCATCTCTCAGGCCGGACGCGGAAACGGGGTGCGTGCGAGTTCGGAGATGCGCAGGCAGGCCTCGAACTGGGCGTCGTCCACTGTCTAGAGATTTCGTTTACCTTCCTTTACTTCGCAAAAGTGATATTAATATTTATTTATATATTCGAATTATTTAAACAATATTGTAAAGTATCGTATCTACAGTACATAAATAATATACAATATAATAACAAATGTGTTTATTATTTAACAAAAATCTACCATACCTCTCCCCCTCAATGATCTGTTGGATCCGCCCCTGGCGTCATCCGACAGCATTTTGACAAGGATCCTTCAATTTTCTTGTGCTCATGTTCCCATGGTTACCATTGCTTGTAGGCCTCGTTTGATTCAACTTTATATAACAGCCACTGTTTTGCCTTTGCGTTTATAAAACGGTACATTTACCAAAATCTGCGTTTCGTAATGGAGATCAAGTAGGTTTTATGTAACACAGACTCACATTTAGAGCAAATGTCGTTGACGTCATATTGCCTAAATACCAGTGCTAATACATGATCAAAAATCCACATTTAACTCGTTTTGTTTTTCACGGCTAGAAAATCATAGTGGCGTCATTTACACAACATTGCATTGAATAAAAACAGTAGCTTCCTTCGTTCTATTTTTTCTCTTATAATAATAATAATAATAATAATAATAATAATAATAAATAATAATAATAATAATTATTATTATTATTAATAGTATTATTATTCTTGTTGTTCCTTGTTTCTCTACAGTTTCGCGATTTTTAACTTTATTTCGTTCCAGCCTAGAATTTAACACAGTATGGTGTAGACTCCTGTCAGTTATTTCCACGACTTGGTGTTAGTGATATGTTAAAAAAATTCGACACCGCTTGGAGTTCATTGTTCCTAGGGTCTGAAGGATTGAACGGCGAGGAATTTTCCGTCATGACGGTCACTCGGGCTAACAAAAGACAGTCTTTAAACTGAAGTCGCAATGTAATGCTGAGCCTGAGCTTCGGAAGTTCGCCTCCATTAATAACTTTCTACTGCTAAATATGACAGCACATGAGGCCGTAAGTCTTTTAACGGATAAGGTTATATGAGATTAGATCATCACTTTTAATGAAGAACAAGTACTATTACTGGCGTTCCGTTCTATATGAGTTAGTACTCGAAATTGTTACGAAATAACACCTACACTATGTTCGTCCGGAGCATTGATTTTAATAAACTCGTAATTTTATGCCATTTTGCATTTCTTGTCCACGTCTCCACTGAAGCGAAGTAATATAAGTCCCAAACTAATGACTTGGGCAGTTTACGTGAAGAATTCAGGACTAATAGTTTCTTTTTGTGGCAAAAGACTTGTTTGCCAAAAAAACAGGGACATTTTAACAAAGCGAAACGCTAGGCACAATGCAATTAATAACGTTGCGCAAATGTTGACTAGGCTCATTGTAAATTGAATTACTCGAGTAGAGAGAGTTTCTGCTCTGCTCGTGAGGGACTGGTATTAGTTAATAATAATGCCAATGTTGACAGTGCGTACATTAACGTACGTATGTTTATATGTTTTCTTTCATTTAAAGGAATCATCAGTGTGGTTGTATGTATAATTTTATTTCTTCGAAATATATTTTGTTGTACATTTTCTGTGTTCTGTTCTGTCAATGAGAGATAATTATTTTTGTCTTGAATTATTATGTTTATTTCCCTTTCTGTTCTAATTGGCTCACATGAAATAAGGTTGGGTCAGGTATTCTTTGTTCATTGAATCATTGAACTCCAAGAAAGAGAATAATAATGTTGAGCGATTCATTAACTCTAAGAATTCAAATAAGACTTGTGTAACAGAAGAATGAGTTTGGCATATCTTAAATTGCAGTTGTGCAAACTCAGGATGTTAACTAAATAAAATGCTTAGCCACTGAAGATTTACTGCGAAATACGCTATAGTAAAAACTGATAACTCGTTACTTACGTACGTATTATCATGTGAAAGATAACTGTATTGAAATGTACTGAAGTATTGTGTTTGTTTTTTGATCAGTGTTTTTCACAATAAGGATTTTGTTGAATCTGTGCAGCAGTCGTAGTCTCTTGGAGACCAAAGAGACATAGGCGATAGTATCATTTATTTACTTGCTTCAATGATTCGGTCCCTTGTCGTTCGGACCCACATCAGGCAGGCGTGATTACAATTAGTAGCTTCTGTTTTAAAAGTTTACTTTGACAAAAATGTTTTACGTCAATTCAATTGCAAAAAGATCCTATTCGTTTAAATAATATGTTAGTAGTATAATACATCTGTATTGCCTCTGAACGTATTGAACTTCAAGAATTTCAAGTGAATATGGAGGAAACCAAACTGTGAGTAACACTAGATAATGAATGAACGTTATGTTCGACATCGCACATTTACGTTCTTACATAAGTGTGCAAATACCGTTTTGAAATGAATGTGACCCACAACTTATTCGTATTAAAATTAACACCTTATTCACATAAACATAGAAAACTGTCACCTTTTAATTCTAGATTCGCGTACAAAGCGATTAATAGAGCAATTGCAGAAGTAGAAGTGAACACGCATTAGACTGAGTTTGTAAAGTTTTAATCTTTTCAAAAATTAGGGGAGATAAATATGGAAGTTATAAGGAAATCCTGGGAAGAATTGAATCCTGGGAAGTGTAGTTGTAAAAGATGTTGCGATAGAATTTTGGGAACTAATTTAGAATGATCAGTATTTTTGCATTTAGCATGTGTGCTAATGAAAATGGGCTATGTTAGTTCGTATTACCAAAAAAGCATAAAAATGTAGCTTTAGTGTAAACTGTAAAAATTTAAATAGTAGCATCAAAACCTACATGTATTTGTTACGTCGATTATAATTTTGATATTGTAATAAAACTAGTTCATATTTCCCGTATGGAGGTAACATACAAGGCCATTCGGTGTTCGGAACTTTTGAACGGGAGTATAGCATTATCAGCTACTACGATTCATTGGAGAGTCCAATGCCAGATACCGAAATATAATTTTCAACACATTAAACTATTTTTAAAACAGTTTACATCGTTAATGACGCATTTTGCTAGTTATTGATATTTTACAATAATTCCTTTTAAATGTGATTTTTCATTGTTTATTTTGCCTTTTGCTAGAATAAATGGCTTTTTTCATGCATGTTTTAATAAAAATAAATGCATTTTGCATGCCTGTAGGCCTTCCAGGCTCTAGTAATAATCATAATGTTACTGAGTGAGGAGGGGACTCATGAGCGATGTGTGTTTCAGCCCTGGAGCGCAAGATCTCGGTGCGCGCGCCGCGGGACGAACTGGTGCAGAAGGGCATCCTGCCGCCCGACAGCCCCTCGTCGCCCACGCCCACCTCACCCATCGGTGAGTGCACACCCACGGGCTTCGCTCGCCTCGGCTCGCCGCGACCGACCGCCCTGCCCACGGCATACTGACCTCCCCGACAGCTGCGACCTCACCGACTGCCCCGGCTTCTCCGACTTCCCTGACTTCCCTGACCTCCCTGACCTCCCCGACCGACCCGACCGATTGGCGTACTGACCATAGTGAACACCGTGACCACTGCGACCATACCACCGCAATACTCTGACGACCGTGACTCTCCCGATGCCAAAGGACTACTGAACAAGGCGACGCGACGCTGCCCGTGTGGAAGGCGCTTGAGCGCTAGAGGCTTGGCGTAACTGCCTGTCCTGCTGCCTTTGCAGTTTGCCACTTCAGTCGGCATGTTGCGTTCTGCCCCCCCCTCCCTGACGCCTCCTCCAGTCTGTTTGCAGAAGGGACGCGCATGGAGCTCACCCGTCGCTTGATATCCTTCGCCTGGAAGAATTCGTTTCTTAGCCGTTGTGCAATTAACGTTCCCAAGTGATTTGCTTTAATCGACTTCTGCCTCGCATGCCTGTTACGCCATGCTCTCCTGTGGAAGACCTAGCAATTAAAGGCAGTGGAAATGACAGGATGCAGTTTTCAAGTGTTCCTCCTACATCGTGCGTCATCAGGCTGCAAAGTGTATTTAAAAAGATTAGAATCCAATTTTGGGTGCGCTGTTCCACTGTCACGTTTGTATTTGAAGTTCTATGTTGGAATTACAGTTAAAGAGATATGATTGTTTTCTCACGCTGGTTCGTAATATACACTAACATCGTAACATGTTAGTGTATAAGCATATTTAAGCTCATGATGTATAATGTGATTTGGTAATCAATGTGGAAATGTATGTTACTTGGTGAATTCAAGTAAAATACAATGCCTATCCGCCAATCATTCATTTTGGAATTCGGTTGTCCGCTGCAATTGAAATGCAAGTGGTCTAGTGTTCATTACCAAGGTAAGATTGTGAAGCTCTGAGCAATCCACTTGTGCGTACTCATCTCATAAACAAATATGAAAAAAATATTTTGTTCATGCGATAACATGACAACGCTATTACTATTCGCGTATATTGAAACGCTTGTGTAGTGATACGCGTGTTTAACGACACAGTGCTTTTACAATGGAGTGGTTTAATTCGGTATTCAAGAGGTATTCACAGTATTTCAGCAATAGATAAGGGTCTCAAGAGCAGAGAGTGTGACAGCGTTAGTTCTTCGTCACGCTCTCCTCTCGCCTCTCTCTCTGCTCTCCTCTCTCTCTTCTCTCTCTCTCTCTCTCTCTCCCTCTCTCTCTTCTCTCTCTCTTCATCGGGGCACCTATGGGCTGAATTAATACGAGAGGAATAGTCGGTTCTTCGCCTTAGACCGTTCTTAATATAAGGGTAATATTTACTATTAATGTTTTACTTCCGTATTCTTTCTTCAAAGGACTCCTTAAAGATCGTTTTTCATTCAAGTAAAGTTTATGTAATTTTAAAGGAACCTAAGCATATCTGAAATGTTGATATAGAAGGTGTTTAATGACATTGTAATATCTTGATTGACGAGTATAAATTGTCTGGGTGATTTCACAGCTCTGTTTATGTTGTTACTTTGTGGATATGGATCTTTTCCGTAGGTAGGCCTGCTCATACCAATGTAAGTTTTACAAGCTTATAAGAAATCAGACCCAATTTTGGGCCCTGCTTTTTTTTTTATATATTAACTTAAAAACGGTTCGATTTCCCAAGGACGGCATATATCGTTTTTTTTTCTCTCGTGAGAAAGGGGGGTGGGCCCAGAGAGGTTTGGGAAACAAGCGGTCTCTGTTTTTTTTCCACACGGCCATGGCCGCCGCGTCCCGCATCCCGTCCAGACGCTCTTCATTCGTGGCGCACATCGCGGGCCTGCGATTCCCTTCTCCTCCGCCCCGCCGGCTTTCCTCAGCGCCTCGCCCTCGCCTCGCCCCTCGCCCTCGCCCTCGCCCTCGCCGCTCGCCTCGCGCCGCCGCCCTCGCCCCCGCCCTCGCGCCTCGCCGCTCGCCTCGCCCTCGCCTCGCGCCTCGCCCCCACCCCCGGCCCCGGCCCCGCCCCGTCGTGCGCTGACGCTTGCCAGCCGCCCTCCAGCGCCGTCCCGCCCCACGCGCCCACCAGGGCCCTCGCCCCCTGCACGTTCACTCCGCTTTGCTCCAGCCCTTCCAGGCCCGGCCCGCACGCGATAGCCCGCAAATGCAGTAGTTTTTCCTGAGGGAGCCAGCGCAACATTATGATGAAGGAGCGGCCGAGAATGATGACTGAATTTAAACCATTAGAATGAATAGAATGCCTGCTTAAAAAAACATACACACTCGATATAACCGTGTGGTAGATATCACTAGAATCAACAATATATGGTAGTAATAAAGAACCATCTAACATTTTTTAATTTGATTACATCAATACCAAATTGTAAATCCATAGACATGGCGTGTATTTTGCACAATTCTGTTTAGTTCGAACCATTCGCAGAGATTCTGAAGAGTCCGGATGCTCTAATAGACAGCTCCTCATATCGAACCATTCAATCCACTCCTGGATTCTTGGAATGCCTTGAGTCGTTAGGATGTAGACACGGCAGCTTTCTCGAACGGGCTGGGCCTTACATGGCATCTTTCTGAGCCCGCAGTGAGTTCAGCATGATTTATTATTCAGCAGATTGTATTTTCCGAATTACTGAAAAGTGTTACGCAGACGTACGCAAACGAAGAATATTAATGGCGCCTTTGATATGACAATTGAATAAATTCAAAAAATTGGGGAAAAAAATTTAAAAGTAAAAAGTTTTTTTTTTTTTTTTTAGAGAAAGATGGAGTATGTGCACTGCTATTAAAGCAAAGTTTATTTCTAATATTTATGTTTTTCTTAACGGATGGTAGTAAAATAACGAAAAGTAATTCACCGACACAAGGCTGATAACATAAGTATGGAACTCCCCGATATCCATACGTATTCTGACATTCTCCTGGTACGGGCTCTGATATTTCTCAGACATACCTATCAACCACAAATTTGATTTATCAAAACTTCAAACCGCGCGACTGTTTAATTTGCTCTATAGCGGGCTAATGACGACAATAACTTCGTTCGTCCCTCTAAGGAGCGTTGCGTTCTTAAATTCGGCCTTCTCTGTTTGGTCCGAATTGATTTCCGGGGAAGCCAAACGTTTTTGCCGATACGCGGTCACAATCCATGAGAACGGCGGCGGAGGGAGGAATTCATTCGCCTCTCGCGTGTCGCCCTCGCCCCCGCGCCCCGCCCCGGCCCGCCCCGCCCGCGCCCCGCGCCCTGCGCCCCGCCCCGCCCCGCCCGCCTTGCCTCGCGCCCGCCCACCCCGCCCACCCCGCCCCACCCACCCGTGCCCGCGCGCCGTCCTGCCCCGCGGCGAGGGCGATACCCTCAGGCGAGGGGCGGGAGCTTCGAGGGTGCGTGTGCGCTGGACGGAGGCCCCACGCGGAAATCGAAATCGAAAGTGTAATGCTGCGTCCGGTGCGAACAAGGGCTGGGTGTTGGCCTACACTTTGCGACGGGCCGCTGCGCTTATCGTTGCGTCCGCATTATCCGCAGTTACAAATATACTGCACCATAAGCCTTACAGATAAACAATACGATTTTTGCAGATAAGGAGTCAATGAAATTACATGTTTATCATCTCAGCTGATCTTTTGTATAAACGACCATTCGTGAAGACGATCACTTCGTGGATAAGTTAGTATGTACTCCTATGACATTTTTGGTGTCGAACATGACGTTTCCTCCGTCAGCGCGGTCTGATGTACTGAAACTTGAAACGTTTTTGACATGAAAGAAAGAACACAGTGAAGGAGTAGGCAAATTAGCTAAATGAGCGTACTTTTGCAATAGTGCTGATAGGAGCACAGAACGACATGGTTACTTAAAGCATCATCTTCTCTAGACATATAAATATTGTTTTGAATGTGCGTTGGATTGGTTTAAATCATAAGAAAAAATAAACATCGAAAATATTTATTAACATTTCATGAAATACAATACTGAGCGGTAATTTCAGTTGGTAAAACACGCCACCAAGTTTCTCGCAATGTTAGCAATTCTTTTACTGTTTTAGCGTCAAAAGCATTCCTAAAGAAGGTGTATTACGTAATGTTTTAATTTAGACGCAATCGAAATTTGCATTTCCAAGACTCAGTGTCCTGTGCTTAGACTTGGGAGGTCGTTAGTGTCATTTATGAACATCGAGTGCACTGCAATTTTGAGGACCGACTGGCAGACCAAGGAACTGACGACCTAAAACCGGGCACGATCGCAGGACCGCGCGCGATACAGTCTGTCTAATTTGTACCCCAATTCCGTCAATTCATTATTTTGTATTTTTCTTCGCTTGTATGCGAAAAAAGTAGATTGTTCGTAAACAGTGCTTAGAAATATCCTCGTCTCTTTGACCAAATATAAGTCAACCTTTTGGAAGTAATGGAATAAGAGAACTACTGTGTAGAATTGAAGCGTTTCTGAGCAAAATTGTATAAGAAACATTTGTTTAATTGAGGAGAGTATGCTCGTGTATATTTTGCCACCTAACTCTGTATAGAAGTGACTTATTCTGTATAGAATTTGAAACGTTTTTTTCTGCAGAAAAAAAATGAAATTCGAACACACGCGGTAACGCGAATTTAACATGGACGTGCGTTGGCAAACAATTATGAGAGTTCTGTGTGTTTCGAGGCTATTTTCGTTAGCGTTACTGGAATGCATTCCACATTTATCAGAGCTTGCTCATGAATTGATTTTATGCCAGGAGTGCATAATTGATTATCCCTTTCCAGCGATAACGTATCTGAACCCAAATGTTTACACTTGGCATAATGATACACGTGAGGATTCGCAAGTTCGCCTGTGACTCATACATCTATGAAAGTTCTCTATTCCAGCCGATCGACTGGCGACAATGAACAAAATGTCATGTGCGTTCGGAAATTGCAGTTTCAGAGCAACGCGGGGG